CCAATGCATTAAAAACGTATATTATGTGGACATCCATATATTCAAAATTAACTCTCTAAATTATGAAAAAAAATTAAATGTGATTTTAAAATAATATTATTGCAAATATATGATAGCTATTACCAGGTTTTATTTATGAGTTTACATTCATGAGTTCACAGAATAATTAAATAATATTCTGCGAACTCATGATGCGCACGCATCGATTTGCAAAACAAAGTGAAAGAGTGGAAAAAAAATATCGCGCTAGTAAAATAAAATTTTTTTAATTTTTTTTTTTATTTCGTTTATATTTATACATTTCTTACAATTTCATTTTTAGATGTTATATATTTCTTTACAATGTACCTTTAGTGTCAGTATTATTATATTATCTATGTTTACATGTAAAAATAAAAGTAAACATAAAAATAATAACTCATTATGTTTCAATTTATCACTCCAAAAAAAATGTCTATAGTGGGTCTGAATCTAATATTGGGATATATAATTTTATATGGGGCCCGAAGAGTTAGGGAGGCATATTCAAAGTGGTTCGCAAGATCATTTGGCTTGGCCGCCCCGCTTTATAGAATATTGTCAAGGTTTGGAATTCTAGCAAGACATAGAAGTTTATTTGCATTTAGAAATTCATTGTTCAAATTGCATTTTTACACATATTTCTTTGAAAAAAATCATACCAAAGCAGCGATTTATATGGAGTTTTTTTGCTTAGCCTGTTAATGTCATAATAGATCATATTTCATAAATTATAACTGTTGCAGTTGATTTGGGTTGTTTTGAATGAAGTCATTATGTGTTTCAATGATAATATAAACCATTGTCTTCAAAAGTGGGGGATACCAACCACCAGGAGGGGGGAGTTGAATGCTCAATGGGTACAGTAATAGTCCGTTTGTGAAATGTTTAATAAAATAAGTGGTGGCGAACGTATAAAGTGAAAATTCAATTTCGAAAAATATTTGTATTCTAGTCGTCTGTTGCTTAGAGCTTCAAAAACATATAGCTATGGACTTTTCTGGATTCAAGAATATAATCAAGAGCCTTTTGAATTGAAAACCATTTTGGGAATCAAACTATTTCTAAAATGTTTGTGGTATTGAATCCAGAATAAATAGATATCTATAGTATATTCTGAATTCTTTCTTTATTCTATGTTTTTCGTTTCACTCATGCTTATGTTGGCTTACACAGTGTCATTCGTTTTTTTTTTCTGTATTTTTTAACTATTGTATTCCTGTAACAATAGTTAAAAATGCAGAAATTTTTTTAATAAAGTAAATGGTGGCGAAACTATAAAGACAAAATACAATTTCGAAAAATTATTTGTATTCTTTTCGTCAGTTGTGTAGCAATTTCAAAAATATATAGTTATGGATTGTTCGTTATTCAAAATTATAATGAAGTCTTTTTGAATTGAAAACCATTTTGGAATCAATCTCATCATTGCCAAAAGGCTTGTGATACTGAATTCAGAATATCTCTAATATGTTCTGAATTTTTTATTTATTCTTTTTCGTTTCTCTCATGTTTATGTTAGTTACAAAGTGTCAATTTTTTTCATGTATTTTAAAATGTTGTACCCATGTTACACCCATTATGTATAACTATATAATTGTAAATTTATTATTTTTTTTATTTTTACACACTCATATATTTAATTGGTTGAAGGGGTCACATAGTCATCAGTGCGGTTGTGGCCTGTGCAGTAAATTAAAAGTAAAGTTTATTATAGGCTATAAAACAAAAAATTTTTAATTGCATTTCCTTCATCAATTTTGAAATGTGGGTTTAATGTGGCCATAAATTTGTTTATAAAAAATAAAAACGACTGCATACAGGGAATCCTGCCGACAAAAATTGAACCCAATTAATTCGTTGATATCAGCGCACTAGGTTCATCTTACTCGTTAGCATTATTTATGAGATTCGTGAATTTTATTTTCATAATAAACGTTGTTAACTTTTCTGTGTTTAATGGAATCGTATTAGAGTTGATTTTAATAACTAGTTTATAATCTGAGTTTCAAGGTGTCTTATTACAACAGCTTTCTCTACTATGTTGTAAGACAGGGATTGCCAACCCGTGGCCTTCCTTGAACATTTTTAAGGGTCCGTGAGATTTATCACACTTTTACAAAATATACTTATTTTAGAATGGTCAAAGTAGTGAAAACCAATATATTAAAAAAATACATTATGTGTGCATCCATATATTCAAAATTACATCAAATATTCAAAAGAAAGAAGAAAACTGCAGCTTCTTTTGAAAGCTGATTCAATACATTAGGGTTAGACAAATATAGCAAATGTTTGAAATATAGTCATCTCACTTTCATGTTGAAATCGAGTAAGCACCAGAATTAATCCAAATGGAACTGGTTGACTTATAATGCAAGATTGAAATAAAATACATTTTTGAAACATCATAATCAAAAATAGATTTGTATAACACTTACGTCACAACAGAGAAATTTTCCAATATGAGAATTCTGGCACGAAAAGTTGTTAGCTCTTTGGGTTCAATTTACAACTGCGAATTCTTTTTTTTTTTTCGAAAATAAAATTGGCCAAACACAAAACATGTGCAAACATAACGGACGCTCACCAGCAACACCGATTACGATGTGCAAATACCCAAATGATATCGATTTGCAAAAGCTAAGTGAAAGAGCGGAGAAACAAATATCGCATTAGTAAAATAAATATTTTTTAATGATTTCATTTATATATTTTGTATATCATTTTTAGTGTTATTTATTTCTTTACAATGTGCTTTTGGTGTCATTATTATTATATTATCTATGTTTACATGTAAGAATAATAGTAAACACAATAATAATAACTCATTATGTTTCAATTTTTAACTCCAAAAATGTCTATAGAGGGTTTAAATCTAATATGGGGATGTATAATTTTATATGCTGCATGCGGAATTAGGATGCATTTCCAAAGTGGCCCTCAAGATCCTTTGGTTTGGCCACCCCTGTTTTAAGATGTAGGTAGCATATAGAAAAAAAGAGCACAATTTGTCTTACTATTTGTTCGTTTGAAGAATGTAATTTTCCAAGAGAGTAATATTTGAGAAAAAAAAATTATTCGCATAAAAAAGATGGTATGGAATATAAATTTGGAAACCACTGCTATAGATGATTAACTGCATTTACTTTTAATAAAGTCAAAAACTGTTTTAAGACTGAAGTAATAAGAAATATACGCAATTTTGCAACAAAATAATCAATAAACGAACTGGATTTATATAATATCCGTCAAAAAATACTACTTAGTTTTTCTCTACTTTACAGAAATCTAATGCGCTTCCTCCTTAATAACTGGATGAAACCTTTCTTCAAGAAAAATATTTTTCCCTCTTATGAGAGCCGGATCGTAATCATCCTTTTCGTCATTACGGTATTCTGTCTTCTCCTTAGGATCTTCTCGTTTCCTGTCTCTCAATGTAGTTGGTTCACATTGCGTCCTAGAGTTCCTACCCATGCCCATCACGTGCCACGTAGTCCTTCCTGAAATGACTCTGCCAATAGCCCTAAAGCTTCACGCGATGATGTCGTGCATTAGAAGAAAAATTTAAGAGACCCAAGTTTTCCCGGAGATATTTATTTTGCTTCCAAAGAAAGACACTTTAAACCTTATTCTCGTTGGATATTCGGATAGTTTGTTTTTGCTGCCGACTTAATGTTATTTCTTTATGGAATTATATATTAATGAAAGGCACATCATAATATTTTGCAAATTAATTATAGTTATTAACTGCAAATGTGTGTGTATATATATATATGAGTGTGAGTTAAAGTGCAAACAAAACTTGTTATGTAGATTTATGTCAACCACATACGAAAAGGATGAAAATTGTAGCATGATTATAGTGTGTAAGGCTACTAGATGGCGTTTATGTCTCCCTTCCAAAAAAATAGTCACCCTGAAGTATTCTGTATTCAGTTTATCCGTTGCAGAAGGACGTTTTATCATCAGAGAAGTTCTTATGCTACATTCCAAAAAAATATCAGGCTTTGTCTGTGTTTGTATATGAAAATAATTAAGATTATAGTTGTTGAGTGGTCAACATTGACAATTTCCAGCCACCTGGTGGTTCGCTACCAATCATTTGCTATCGTGACGCTAAATACATTTTTAACAGTTTATTTTATAGTCGACCCTGTTTTTAGTGGTGCATCCTTGACGAATTATAATTCAACTTACGTTCTGATAATAACTACTTAAATGGGATTGGAGCACCATGTGGAGTATTCACAAGCTTGTACTTGTGCTGTTATCTGCCGCGTCTGGTGTGGAGTGCACTCGTTAAAATATATTTAAAAACGAATAATAAAATATATTTAATATATATTTTGCAATTATTAAAAAGTATATTAAAAGGAAAATGCACTTAAGGTTAACTAACAGGAAATAAAAAATTGTATTTAAAAATATAAATATGAGGATTTAAAATTAAGAAAATTGTGAGAAACACATGGCATTTGAAAAAATAAAATCTTAATTTGCAAAAACCTTATTAGTTTTACATTCACTCGTTTATGCCTGCATTTTTAAGCAACACTTATATTCTTTCAAATAATAACAGTTGGGGCAGTCATTCTCTCAAATTAATCTCATAAAAATGAGTTTCCAATTCAACAGCAAATGTTTACAAAGTATGAAAATATTGAAAAAATACAGTTTTATTTGATAGATATATGTTGTTGTTATTTCTTATCCCACTTGGCTGGCCAAGCCCACGAGCCCATACGTACTCATGATTGAAGGGAAGGAAGCCGCTTCTGTTGTGATGGAGCACCCGTAGGTAGAAGTACTGACTTTGGCTCCGTGACGCTCTTACAGTCATAGGAGGCTGGGACCCACGGCTTAAAGTGGATTACGAACCACTACAAACATCCATGGCACCGACGGGATTCGAACCTGAAACCTGTGGCACCGAGCGCTAGACACTCGGTCATTCAAGTCCCAAATTTGTGAATACCAATGGCACGCGGTGTTCCCAGGTGGCACCCACCCAAGTACTGACCGCGCCCAATGATGCTTGACTTCGGTGATCTAACGAGAACCGGTATATTCAGCATGGCATGGCCGTTGGCTGATACATATATAACATGCAATAGCAATTTTTATACTTTAGTCTGCATGCCACTTTTATTTTCTTTGATTTTTGACCTAACTTATTTTTAAATAAGAAGAGAGAGATATAGCAGAATTAACATTGCAAAGGAAGACAAAATGAGGATAACATAGTACAATGCATCGATGTTTTATCTACACAGTTTTTAAGTACCAGACATATAGATAATATGGAAAGAATTTACAATACTTCCCAACTATTTGGGTTCAACGGAAAAGATTTAACCTGCAGATTTACTGCTCTCATTCTTAACAAAGAAACTGTATCTTCTGATTATTTTTTACTTGCCGATTTCGTATCCATCTCTTTTGATTCAGAAATCTAACATTTCGTGGAATGAACGAATAACGTTTGCAATGTATTGTTTTCGTGGGATAATACATAAACTTGTTGTTGTTGTTGTATTGCCCCTTGATTTAGAATCCTAAACCAAGTCCAGTAGATCATGCTGCATCAATAGATCGTAAACTGTCCTCCCCTCATTCAACAGTTGCCTCACAGAGGCACCAATACAATCGATGAGATGAAAGGGAGACGCGATGGCCGAACAATGACAAAGGGTATATGTCTTCTCGTCTCCATTGAAGGTCAAACTCTTAGTGTGACCAGTCCTTAGTCTAGCTAAAGCCGTTTGAGCAAGCCTAGGACAGGAGCACTGCAAGGACATACCAGGATATTTAGCGGCGTACCATGCATGAATTGGTGGCGACCTCCAAGAATATATAAATTTAATTTCACGTACACGAAACTTTCATATTGTTTCTGTTGCATTGAATCACAAAACATAAATTTTACCTAAGCATATGTTAAAAGCAATTTGTTTTTCACCAAAAATTGAAAAGAAAATATACCACTTCGTATTAGAGTTTTATGAAGCGAAAAAAGAAATGAATGACACTCTAGATAAAAAGTGTTACTGCAACCTCGGTTTGAATAAGAATTTACAACTTCACGTGCCCTGTTTGGCACTTCGCAATGCATTGCTTTTATTTGAGCATAATGCTTTAATAATTTTTGTACTGAATTTTTTTTACATAAGTTAATAAATATCGAAAAAAAAAAAACTTAAAACTTTAAATACGAAGATATGCTTTTTTAAATTTAATGATTTATTCTCCTGCACACAATTTACTGAAAACTTTAGAATATTATTTCGAATCATTCTATGTTCAAGTTTATTATAGATTTTGATATGAACGTAATGCTATTTTCTTAATATCAGTTAAAAATTTTTATATCAAGTTAATTACTAATAATAAGTGAAAAGGGAGCTACATCCTAAGGAGAAATAAAAAAAAATATTAAAATATTATTAAAAGGTAATGAAATAACAATTTTTGGAGATTTAAATTTTTTAAAATTATTTATAAATTTATTAAAAGTACTTTTTTATTGTTATAATTTTTTTTTTCGATCACAATTTGTAGAATCAATGTTTATATAACAATCTTTTCGTTGTCTGATTTAAAAATGATTTGTTCAGTTTTAATTATATTCAAATGTATTATTATAATTAAATTAAATAAAATTAGAGATAATTAAAATTTTAATACAAAATATGAAATAAACAGTCTTAGCTTTTTTTTTTTTTATTAATAACATCCAAACAGTAAAGAATTAACTTATAATACATTTATTTTACATTTTTTTTTTAATCCACCACATGTAAAATTAACCAATCATTATTTTAGTTCCATATATATTATTTATATAGTTATATATATATATATATATATATATATATATATATTTCCATAAATATAATTATGTTATATACTTTTATTTCAATTCCATATACTACATTAATACATGAAAAATTTAAATATAAATATCATATTTCTTATTACCTTTTATGCAAACAATATTTTTGCAAAACGAAATGTCTTGTTACATAGATATGCTACTATTTTAGATATAAAATTACCTATATTTCATTTTAATAAAATCTTTATATGATGTTATTTTTTGTTCCTGTATACAATACTTCATTAAATATAGAAATATTATTTTTCCGCCATCAACATTCTCAGATATTTAAGAATGAAAATGTGATGCTCATATCATGCAAAAATCCTTTAAGCAAGTCACATTTAAAATTAAATTTTAAATTTCGATTTTTAAATGACATAAAAGTTGAAGCTCTTGAATTTACATTTGGTATTGTAACCCTGCTTTCTCCAACACACTGGTAGGATTGGTTCAGGAAAAATGATCAGTCGGCCTTGAGATTCTCATCCGATAAGAAACGATAAGCGCAACCTACGTTCCCACTGAGAAACGTTTTTGTTTAGTGTCTCATCTCTAGAGGAAATATATTTAGCGCATCCACACTTGTTTATCTACAGACACTCACCCGGAGAGCAGCGTATTTCGCGCATCCTGCTTGTATCCGAGTTTCGGGTTTTCGGCTTAGAAGTAGAATCCTTTCACGAATCTACAATTATCTGTCTTTAAATGTGTTAAATATTATATGCCTCTAATTATATGTGTTTGGTGTATGTGTGTGGCTAATAAAGCTGTGAATCATTGAATATGTGCCCCATGTATCTCAACCCAGCCACACCTAATTATAATCTGGCTGCACAACCTGCAGACTACAGTATTAAATTATTTATTAGCTCTTATAGATATCTGTTGAAGAAAATATATCTTTTCATATGAAGAAAAGGAAACAATTCATCATGAGATGACAGAAAATTTTTATTCAGTTCAAGATTTCACTTTGTTTCTATTGACGAAAGACAGTAATAGCCTTGTATCATAAAATATGATTTTTGTATTTCTTGCAAACATTTCATTCGTCGAAAAAAAGCACTCGATGCACACTTGAAAAATTTTAAGAAAAAAAGGAAGGTTTTTTGTGAAAGAAAAACACGGAATTCAATAAAAGAAGACATATTTCAAACCCCAAAAGACATTTTTTCCCTATTTGAATTGAATTCCCAGTTTGAATTCTTTGAACAATGCGTTGGTAAAATCTTCTGCATAAATTCTCCTGCCAGAATAATGTGTTTCAGAGCGAATTATTGCACCACAGTGCATATAAATATGCATTTAATAAAATAATTTTATTTTGGAGACTTCGTTTATTATGTGTTTATTTATTTTTATGTTGTTATTTATTTTTCTGAATTTATGTTCATATAATTTTAATATTATATAATTTTCATAAATATTTAATTAATTTAAAAGAAGTATAAAATGAAATTGCATTCGAAACAGCCTAACCTCTATGAAGTAAGAGATTTTCTGCTAAAAGTTTAAAAATAACATTGAATGCAAAATAGAAAAAAAATATCTTATTTCGTATTATTATGGAAACTTAGAACAATATATAAATATTTGCAAATTCATTTTTTTTATTTAAATCAGTTATTTATTTTCTGGTCCGTTGCAAAAAATTTCGGAAACATTTTATTTGTTTTTAATAAAGCAAATCTGTAATTTAAAAATATTATAACAATGTTTTATATCGTTATTGAAAAAAATAATTAAAATATAGTTATACATTATAAGAATAAAAAATTATTAAGTTTAGATTATAATAATTAAGAATTATAAGATTATTAGAATTATTAATATAAAAGAGAATAGAAATATCAGTTTTGTAACAAATAATTTGACAGACGTTTTTTGTAATTTAATTGTTATATAAAATATTTTTATATTCTAATTGTTTGATAAAAATCAATGTATTTTTAATATATATGTATTTAAATTCAAAATAAAAATATTCTATTTTATATTATAAATTAAACAGAAACTAATGAAGGAAAATTTCATACATTGAAATATTAAACACAAAATATATATTTTTATATATTTTTTTTCAAGAATGACAAAGTCATAAATAAATGAATATGAGGTAGATAGAGATTTTTTTAATATTTTTTTCCTTAGAAATACTGAAGTGTTACACTGTATTATCTTTAATTTCTAATTTAATTTTATTTTAGAAACATTTCATTTCAATGAAAATTACATTAAAAATACTCAATTTCATTCATAAATATCAACTACTATAAATAAATGAAATACTAATAATAGTTAATATATTTTACTTAAAATGTTTAATTGAACGTTCTTTCATTGAAAGTTATCAATTCTTCATTATATTTAAACAAAGCAGAGAACATTGTTTTATATTATTTTACTGTACTGCACAATTAAGTAAAATTTCAGATGTTGCGATTAATATTTGATTATTAGCACTTTTTTTCTTTTTTGATTATTACAAGATTTAGGAAAATTATTCAATTTTGAATGAATTAAATGAAAAATTATCATAATTAATAAATTAGTTTTGTATATTCACCTGATGAAAATTCCAAAGAAGGGTGTAACAGAAGATATCGAACTGATAATTACTTTGTAAAATTTTAAACTATTACGAAAGAATTTAATGTATGCATATTTAACTATTTGCAAGAATATTATGTTGCATAGTAAAAAATTAATTGATAAATTAAATGCTGCACTGTTTTTAATAATATTAAAGTAAATATAAGTAGTAGAATAAAAAAGTAGTACAACGTTTACGTCAATTATTTTGACGCAAACGTTGGATGTTGTTTGATGTTTCTATTTCGTACACATTATACGTTTTGAAACATTATACATTATACGTTTTGTACGTAAAAGATTTTATGAGAGAAAAAAGCTGATTGATTACCGCAGTCTTAATTGTATTATTGTCGGAAACCAGTATCATTTTTTAAAAACTTTGTTCTTTATCTTAAAAGTGATGATTGAGCTCTTGTAAGTATGAATTGTTTAAAATGTCTGTAATCATTTTATTTAAAACGATTTATTTGTTATAGGGTTTATAAAAATATTTTTAACATAGAATGTTTAACCACAATTTATTGATTTCGGAGATTTAACGTTTTAAGAATGTACAATTGTAGATGTGGTTGCTTAATCGAATGAAGAGCATGGTAAAACGTCAAAATATCT